CCGGGGTCTGCCTCATGCAAGGCAAACGCCCTCCCACCGTCCTGTCGCTCGTCTCCCAGTTTAAGCTTCAGCTTCCACTCAGAACGCAGCACAAAGCCCGGTTTTCTTTTATCACCATCAGACTTACAGCCCAGGGCAAGCAGGGCACGTCCCCTCACAGACCCGGGGCTCCTGAGAATATAACAGGTGGTACTGACTCACACGTCCCCACGCTATTACCCAACCTGGCTCTCTAGGGATGCAAGACCGGGCTGGCACCTGGTCACGCCTGCCAGACATTAAGAGGGGAAGGTCTGAGAGTCGCTGAGGCCCCTGGGGTCCCTGGCTCCCAAGCACGGCTCAGAGCCTTCACTAGTGGGACCTCCACTCCCACCGGAAGGGGCTACAAACCCAAGGCAGAGCCACCGCATAGGCGGAAGGGTATTTGCCATTGCACTGGGCCAACCGGGATTCGATCCAAGTACCTGATATGGTCCACTCCACTGACGATCTGCTGGGGAAGGGAGAGAGGGAGGGAGGGAAAGAAAAAAGGAAGAAAGAGAGAGGGAGGGAGGGAAGAAGGGAGGGAGGGAGGGAGGGAAGAAGGGAGGGAGGGAGGGAGGAAGGAAGGAAGGAAGGAAGGAAGGAAGGAAGGAAGGAAGGAAGTAAAGAGGGAAGAAGGCAGGGAGGAAGAAGAAAGGAAGGCAGGGAAGAAGGAAGGGAGAAATGGAGAGAGGGAGGGAGGGAGGGAGGGACGGAGGGAGGGAGGAACGAAGGAAGGAAGGAAGGAAGGAAGGAAGGAAGGAAGGAAGGAAGGAGGTCAGGCAGTTAGTTGCAGCCCACGGAAATCTCCGGTGCCAGAGAGTGAGCCCCAAGCCTCAGTTCCCATGTGTGGCTCTCAGTGACTGAGGTCACAACCACAACAGCCTACAGGGCCCAAACCAGGGAACGAAAAGTGAGCGAGTGTGAGAGAAAGTCCTGCGGTCAGGCAACCCCAGGAGTCCCAGCAGCCCCACTCAGAGCCAGCAGCCTCCCAAAGGGACCTTCTGAGCCCCCAATCCTGCAGTTTCCGGGACGTCTGCCCCTCTCCACGCCCAGAGCTCCCTGGGGCATGAGGGACAAGTGGTGCTTACAAGGACCCAACACCTTCCTCCCTACCTCCCCCCACTCCTGAATTACTGTTTGGGTTCAGGGGAAAGCAGGCAGAGGCCCCACAGACAGGCAGCCCTCTGCAGTCCCACCTCACGGCTCCGCACAGTCCCGAGCTGCCATCTGTGCTCAGTAAAGCCACATCCACGTGTGGGCCACGGGTGGTACGCGCCAGCACCCACCTGATGATGGAATCTGTGCTGGAATTATTCCACACCAGGGGATGCCACGTTCCCCAGTGTTCATTCTCAGATCTACCTCACAGGCCACATCTTCGTGTGGCCTAGAGACCGTCATGGCACAGGGCACAGCCCCCAACACAATTCACGCTCCCAAGTGCCACATCTTGGCCCTACACACACACACAAACACACACACACACACACACACACACACACACACACAAATACACACACCTCCCCGTCAGTCTAGTGGCTTCTGGCCATGTGCGGGTCCTGGGGGCCTGAGGAACCAGGTTTTCCTCTGGCTCAGGAAGCCACCTGCGGCACCCCCGCGGCATACGAGGTCTCTCCCCCCACACCCACAGCTCGCCAACACCTGTCTCTCCTGGACCTGTCACTTCTCTCCAGAGCTCAGGAGTGACTGCAGACGACTGACCGAGCAGAACAAGCTCTACCCCTGAAGACCTTCCACATCCCACTACAAGCCGTTCCTGTGTGATGCAAACTGGTGGAATCCGCTCTCCTGGGGCACAAGAAACCTTTTCGATCGAAACAAAAAAGGAAAAAAAAATGCATCCGAGGAGACAGCACTGCGCAAAGGAAGGACAAACTTCCAGAACTTAAATTTTTACCAGCAAGAGTAAGTGCAGCATTCACCGGTGGTGTCCATTTCATGTCCTAACGCAGGTCATGGTTTTAAAAAACGGTGCAGAAAACACAGCTCGAAAGTGATGAAACCAGCTTAAGCGCCTGCTCCGGGCAGTGGGGTTTTCACAGCCAGATTCCCACTGAAGGTTCAGGGCCAGTCCGCCGGCCCCTCTCCCCACCCAAGGGAGAGCCAGGCCCCGGCCAGCTGACAGCGGGCGCCTTCTCCGCTTTCTGTGGCCTTTTGCAATCCCGCGCCGAATCGGGCGGCCCTCAGATGTTGCAAGGGGAGGCCTGGGGAATTCATTCAGCGAACCACCCCGCGTCATCCTTGCCATGAGAACGCGGACCCGGGCGCCCCAGGAGCCAAAACAGGCCTGCTCATGGCGGGGGTCCTGCACCTGGACGTCCTACAGCTCCCCGATCTCGGTGCTCACACCCACACACACCCCCGCCCCAGAAAGAGCCACCAGGGAGAGTCCAAAGGTCTCCATGGAGAACAAATGTGAAACTGTCTGGAAGCTCCAGTCTTCAGTTTCGCATAATTCCACACAACTTTCCCCCCATTTCTGAACCCCGACTCAGGGTGGAGCCCATGGCCCCGTTTTCGGGTGCGCCTCGATCCCACCATTCAGGGACTGCACCATGCTGGCATTTCAGAAGCAGGCCTTCCTAAAGTCTCCTCGCCCTGAGCGCCACGCTCCATCCGTGCCCATCACCTCTTCCCCCAGGGGCCCCGGCAACCTTTCACCACACACCCACCCGCTGCCTGCAGGTCACCTAGCTCAAGCAGGCTGGGCAAAGGCCTAGCACCTTCTCTGCAGTCCAGTGTGAACTGCACCTCTCCAAAACACGCTTCCGATTTCTCAAGTTACCCATGCCGGAGGCTCCCAAACCCTGGAGTACCGTGACTTTCCAAGAGCTCGTTTTTATACATCTCTTTCCTTCAGATGTGGGGGCTCCTCCATCACCAGCCCCGTTGTGTACTTGGAGCAAGTTGCGTTCTCCAAGGCTGGAAAATCTCCTCCTTCCCCTTTCCAGTTTATCCCAGTCCAAACACAGGACATTCCTGCTTATTGATCTGTCTCCTCAAGTACTTTGGAAAGAAAAACTTCCTTTGGGGCTGAAGTGATGGTACAGCGGCACTTGCCTTGCCCGCGGCCGACCCAGGTTCAATCCCTGGCATCTCAAGTGCTGCCAGGAATAACCCCTGAGCATCACCAGGTGTAACCCCAAAACAATTTTAGGAAAGAAAAGACTTTCCAAATACTCTCTCATGCCACAAAGGCCCCCCTGGGACACCCCCCCCCCAAGTGTATACGGCATATTCGAGGTAAAGTGCTCTCAGGGACTGGAACCACCCTCACTATCGCCTCTCACCAGCTTTCATCTCCTTCTGCTGAGGGAAAGGCCCTGGTGTGGCCACAGCCATCTCCCTGTGTCGGGAAAGCCGCAGTGCAAAGGCCCCTCTCACTCCTGCACCTTCTCCTGCGCAGCCCTTGCCCCTGCACCTTACGGAGACTTTGGTTTTTGGCTTTTTGGGGTTACACTTGGTGATGCTCAGGGGTTCCTCCTGGTTCTGCACTCAGGAATCACTCCTGGAGGTGCTCAAAGGACCCTGGGAGATGCCAGGTATCGACCACCCCCTGCGCCCCGGGGTCAGCTGCAGCAAGGCAAACGCCCTCCCCCCCTCCCCGCTGTGCTATCATTCTGGCCCCTTATGGCGACTTTCATGCTTTGGCGCTACATGCATTTGACTTATTTCTGAGCTTACTGCTCTAAGTGGAGCAATAGCACAGCGGGTAGGGCGTTCGCCTTACAAGCGGCCAACATGGCCGACCCGAGTTCGATTCCTCCACCCCTCTCGGAGAGCCCGGCAAGCTACCAAGAGTATTCGATATGCCAGACACAGTAACAACAAAGTCTCCAATGGAGACGTTACTGGGCCCGCTCGAGCAAATCGACGATCAACGAGAGGGCCTTTACCTTTACCTTTACCTTACTGCTCTAAGTCCAATCTCCAAAGTTCACCCCACTCGGATACCACCCCCCCTTTGCAGTCAGAGGACATTCCCTCCAAGCCAAGCTCTTAGACCATTCCATCTGGCGGTGGGGCTCCCCAAGACCACAGGTTTCTGGGCCTGCACTGTTCTCCCTGGAGCGCCAGGCCTCACTGCAAACACACAAGCTCTGCAAAGGTAGCTGAGGCCTGAACTCCACTGCTTCTTCCTACGGCCCGGAGTTCCTGGGGACCCCACCCTCCGCCTATACCCCACATGCTGGAAAGCCTCCGGTCCATAGCTGGTCACCCACTTTCCATCAACGGCACCACACAGGCTTTTTCCGACTAGAGGGGTGTCAGGAAAGTAGGTAGGAGCCTCTTGCACCCACGACGGGCCGGGTGCTGGAGGCTTCCAAGGCCACCAAGAACCGACGAGGGAGGAGGCCGAGAGGGCGGGGGGAGGGTCCCCCCACATTGCCAAACAGGTGGGCTGCTTCAGATTCCAAATGCACCGCGAAAACCCAGGCGCCCGGCCCTCGGCTCCAAGGCGGGCAGAGAAACTGTTGCCTTGAAATTATTTGCACATGCCAAATTCCCGGCCCGCTCGGGGAGGCCCCCTCCCCCCAGCCGCTCGGGCACCCCGCGTGCCCCTAGTGCCAGCTCCCGGGAGGGCGGGGCGGGGGGCACCGGTGAGGCGCGGCAGGGTGAAACCGCGCGGAAGGAAGTGGGGGTGGACAGAGGGGCCAGCAGGGTGGGGGCGGCCCCGCGCGCGCTCGAGGGTGTGTCGCTGCGCGGCCCGGGGCCCGGCACCCGCTCGCTGGCGCGGTGGAGGAGGAGGAGGAGGAGGAGGAGGAGGAAGAAGAGGAGGAGGAGGAGCGGGACCGCCGAGCCGGAAAGGGTCCGAGCGAGGGGGGCAGGTCCGGCCGGTCCCGTCCGCGCGGCGACTCGGAGGCCGGCGCTGGAAGTTGGGGCCGCGGGGCGCGCGCGATCCACAGTCCCCCCCCGCGCCCCGCGCCCCGCGCCCCGCGCCCCGCGCCGCTCACCTCGCCCGGGCAGCTCCCGCCCCGACAGCTCGGCGCCGCCTGGCTCGGGGCTGCTGCGGCCGCGGCCCAGCGCCTGCTTCGCGCCCACCTGGCCGGCCGGCCCTCCCTCCCCGGCCCGGCGCTCACGTACGCGGCCGCGGCCACAACCCGGCCCGGATTCCCCGCCCGGGAAGGGAGCGCGCGGGCGCGCGGACACACCCCCCGCCCCGCGTACACAGTGGGCGCTCAATAAGTGCCCGGCGCACATGCGCACTCGGCCCTGACCCGGGGCCGACCCCCACCCCCCGAACCCGGCTCCCGGCTGGGCCCCCTCCCCCGCGCGCCCGCGCCGCCCAAACTTTCTCGCGCCTCCGCTTCCAGGCCTGGCGCCGGGACGGGCGGCTCCGAGCGCGGCCGAGCGCGGCCCCCGGGCGGGGAAGGCGGGGGCGAGCCGGGCCGGGTCGGGCCAGGCCGGGTGGATCGGACCGGGCCGGGCCGGGCCGGGCCGGGCCGGGCCGGCGGAGGCGCAACCGGGACCCGCCGGGGCGCGCGCGCGGCGAGCTGCAGACCCACCTTTGCATGGCCCCGCGCACGTCATGGTGCCTGCTCCATTTTAGGGCGTTTGACTGGGTTTTGCTCGGCGGAGGTGGGCGGGCGAGGTCTGGAATGAAATGGGAGAAAGTTAACGATTAGCCGTCGGGGCCTGGGCGCACGGTCCCCGACGCGCGCGGCCCCGGCCTTTGGAGAATTTGCCGCGAGCGGAGTCGAGCTGTTCCGCTGTCTTGCTGAGTGTGGGTGGTTTATCGATCTATTTCTTTTATTATTATTATTATTATTATTATTATTATTATTATTATTATTATTTAGAGCTAAGGCCGGGGAGCGCCAAGGAGGGGGGGGGCAAGAACCTGCATATTCATCAGGAAAGCAGCGGCGCGAGGAATCCGCCCTCCCCTCCCCGAGCGCCGGATCTGTTTTGGGTCCTACTTGTTGAATTTCCAGTTCCCCTACAGTCTGAGCCAGGCTGTTTTTCTTGCAGCGAGGGTGCTGGGAAGACGCAGAGGCGACGAGCCGGGCTTGTGATTCTGATGTAACTGCCCCGCCAGCTTTATGGTCTCCCGCTGGCCCCTGAATTTGCCCTGGGAGGGGGGACACCGGGCGTAGTGCCTCGCTCGGGCCAAACAAGCAATAAATATCCCTGGCCTCTCACTGACCACCTCCCACCCTCCCACCCTCGGGGAAAGAAGGACAATCTCTAAATAGAAGCCAAAGTCCTTAAGGACCTTGATTCTCCACTCGGGGCGGGGGTGGTTGGGGGCCCCAGGAGACAGGCTGGCCAAGTGGGGAGACCTTTCTGATCATTGCAATCAGAGGAAGGTTTGCTTCTCAAAACCGGCTAGTAGGTGGAGCCCATCTGCTGTTGCTAAAACCCAAAGCCCAGCCCACAAGGGTCTCCAATGCCAAGAGCGCCATGTCCGAGGAATCGCTGGGGAGTCCAGCTGCTCCGGAATAACTCACCGAAGAATTCTGCCCTTTGAACTCCTCTCCTCCAGCGAGCCTTCTTGGTTTGCATTAAAAAGAAGCAGAGGTAGGGGCCAGAGCAATAGCACAGGGAGTAGGGTTTTTGTGCCTTGTGCACTGCCAACTCGAGTTCAATCCCCAGCACCCCTTAAGGTCCTGTGAGCACGGCCCAGAGATTCCTGAGCTCAGAGCCAAGAGTAAGCCCTGTTACTGCAAGAGTAAGCAGACTGCTGCGTGTGCTACACCACCCCCCACGCAAAAAAAAAAAAAAAAAGTGAAAAGACTTTGAGTAGCTAAAAGGACCCCAGGGAGAAGCTCGGAGGGCCAGAGAGATAAAACCGTAGGTCTGGGAAACATGGAAATACAAGGCCTGGAACAGTGCTGGGCAAGGGAGGCGCAGACCCTGGCTCCCCCCGTCCCCCCAGCACTGCCAGGGACAGCCAGAGCTCGGCACCAAGAGTAGCCTCTCAGTACCTCTGGGTGTGATCCCAAGACCAAAAACAAAAACGCAAAAAAGGTTGGGAATGTGGCTCAGCCCTGGGTTCGAGTCCCTGGCATGAACAAAAAAGCATGCAATGTGCTTGTGTTCTTGGCTGTCAAGGCGCTAGGCTCTGGTGGGGGATTTATTAAAGAGGAGCTGGGCTCGGGCTCCCACAGTCCTCACGGGGAGGGGGAGGATTACCCCCAATATCCCTTAGCCTCAGGTATCTCCTTCAGTCTTGCTGGAGGAACGGAGGCCCTAGGGATGGTGAATACGCACACACGACAATTACCACACAATCACCATCCATCGCTGGTAATTACGCTTTAATTGCAGCACAGAAGAAGTGCCTTAGAGGAGAGGGAGAATGAGTCCAGGCGCACACACACACACACACACACACACACACACACACAGCATGCAGGAAATGGCTGTAGTGAAATAAAATTGTGCCCTTTTGGACGTGAGCTTGGGCCCGAATGAACATGAGCAGCTCCGCCTCAGGATTGAAACCACGGGTTTCTGTACACGAGGGGGGCTGGGGGGGGGGGGGGGGGTCCGGCCCTGGGTTTGGGGATTTTGTGTTGCTTTCTCCAAACACTAAGTTCCAAGGCTTAGTTCCAAACAGTCTTCCTAGAACAATTGAGACTGCATCCACTTGACACCGTGTGTGAGAGTGTGTGAGAACCTGCCGGTGCAAGGGAGAGCTTTCGGATCTGCAGAGCCCTCCGGAGTGCTGCCTAGAGGGTGTCTGGCGAGTGCGGTCTGCACGGATGTTGCTGCAGGTACGCACTTGCACAGCCCACATTCCAGAGGTTTGCACACTAGCGCCAACAAGGAGAGTTTCCTGCCCCAAACAGCAGTCTCGGCCGCACCCTGCACCTAGCGCTTTCTTGCAGGATCAGGAGCACACGTGCCTGGCACACACAACCCAGAGAGAGAGAGAGAGAGAGAGAGAGAGGGAGGGAGGGAAGGAGTAGGGAGAGGGAAAGGGAGGGAGAGAGAGCCCTAAACCGCACTCATGGCCCCCTGAACTTGCCCTTCTGGGGCTGCCCTTGTCTTGCTTCCTCTCACATCTCACAACCCCTCTCCCTGCTGTGGCAATGTAGCATTTGCCTGGAGGCAGGAGGGGGGAGGGGCCATGGCTCAGTGATAGAACACAGGCCTTGTGTGTTTGTGGAGGGGAGGGGGGTCAAGAAGGGGGTACGGTCACTAGCACTGTAAGGAAACATGCAGGCCCTGCGGGGGGCTCAGGCCCTGAGTATGCACTTTGCAGCTGATTCTCAGTACCCCCCCATACCCGTGATACCACGGGGAGCAACCCTGAGACCAAAGCCAAGAGTAGCCCCCAAGCCCTATGGGGCGTGCCCCCCCCAGAACTAAATGGAACAGAAGCAAAACTGTGTGGGCATCTTAACCCTCCTGTCCAGCTGGGGACGCGGCTTCTGCAGAGTTTCACCCTGAGACTCACAGGGTCAAGCAGAGCCAGCCCACCTCAGCTTGGGGGTTCCTGCTGTTTCAGGGTGATCTGAGGCAGAGGGGAGGCAGTGTGTGTGTGTGGAGGGGGGGGAGCTGCTTCCAGAATCACCTGTCTCCCACCCACTCACCTACAAGGCTTCAGAGGGCTCAGGACGGTGAGCGGCTTGACCGCACCCTCCTTGTAAGTGAGAGGCTGGATCCCAGCCCCAGTGCCACGCTCTCCCAGGGTACACGTGTGCACTGCCACCAAAGCACACAGCCCCCACCAGCACATGCCTGAGTTCACAGCAACGCACGCCCCCCTGCCCCCGCCATCACCCACAAGTGTGACATCAGAACATGCCAGAAGCTGCAGCCATGCACCACAGACAGACGGCAAACACCACAGCCACGCGTGTCTGGTCACCGCAGCAGAGGGAAGGGGGTATATACAGTTTAAAACTTGTGATGCCGATACAGATTTTTTTTTTTTGTCTTGGGGGTCACACCCAGCAGAGCTCAGGGCTTGCTCCTGGCTCTGTGCCCAGGACACTGCTGGAGGCTCTGGGACCATATAGGAGGAAGGGGGAGGAGGGATCAAACCCGTTTCGCCACGTGCAAAGCAAGCGCTCTACCTGCTTTATTACGGATAGCACAGTGGGTAGGGCGTTTGCCTTGCACACGGCCAATCCGGGTTCGATTCCCAGCGTCCCATAGGGTCCCTTGAGCACCGCCAGGAATGATTCCTGAGTGCAGAGCCAGGAGTGACCCCTGAGCATCGCCCGGTGTGACCCAAAAAGCAATAATATATATTGTAAAAAAAAAAATCCAAAACAAAGCTCCTCCAAGGCACCACACTGGGCATCATCCTCCCCTTTCCCCCCTTGGCAGCTGACGACGAAAGCCAGGAACTAGCTGCCCAGCCTCTGGCGCCCAGAAGCAGGCTTGCCCTTGACCTGGCTAGACCCCCTCTTCCCTTATGCACGGTTCGTTCTTGTCTGTTCTGTTTGGGGGAAGTACACCCCGCTGTGCTCAGGGGTGACTTGTGGCATGCCTGGGAAGGAACCTGGTCAGCCCCTGACGCCCACCTGACGCCCACCCATCAGTCGCCCTCCCCGCTGTGCTGTCTCTCCAGCCCCCAGCTCAGGACCTTCTGAGCAAGTTCCCTCGACCTGAACCCCATTCTCTTGTCCTAACCCCCTAGGAGACCAGGCGTTCTCTGAGGGAAAGCGGTGTGTCTTGTTCTCTGTGCAGCCCCCAGTGCCTGGGCAGACTCCATCACTGGACAAACGGCAAACGCTAAGTGGCTGTTTAACTAAGCAGGGGCTGGGGACAGGGTCAGGCCTCAGAGGCACAGTAGTTTCAGGGGCTGGGACACCTCCCAGTGTTTTCTGTCCTTGGAACAGGAAGGGGACAGCAGAATGCACCGTCCTTGGGCCAAAGCAGTAGTACAGCAGGGATGGTGCTTGGCTTGCACACGACCAACCTGGGTACAATCCCTGGCATCCCACAGGGTCTGCTGAGCACCACCAGGAATCATTCCTGAGTGCACAGCCAAGTAACCCCTGAGTGCCACGGAGTATGCCCAAACACACTTGATCACTTGATCACTTGACATCCCGTTACTCATCGATTTGCTCAATCGGGTGCCAGTAACGACTCCATTCGTCCCTGTCGGGTGCTAATGTAGCCCAATGGTGTCTGCTCGTTCCAGGAACACGAAGAGCCTCAAACCAATTGTT